CTTAATTGCACTGTTTCTTTTTTCTTTTCACCTTTTTTTTTTTCTTTTTAATTTTACAGCTACAATTTGTGCAGTTTCAGCCCAGCCACTTTATCTCCACCTGCTAGATTAAAAGACCTTTTCTAACAGAAGTTTTCTCCAAGCAAAGAATATCTTCATCTTTTCCTCACAAAGACATTCTTCTGCTATGGGATAAAAGTTCTCATCATTCTCATAGGTCTTTTCTGAACTCTCCAAACGCTTTACATGCGAACACCAACACCAGTATTTGTCAAATAATGTTTAATTTATAGGGGTAATAACAGTAATAATAATACTGCAAGGATAAACTTGGAGAAGAAAATAAGCATGTAAGCCATTTGGTCTTTCTCTTTCTTACACATGCTCATGCAAATATCCTTTAGAGAAAAGGAAGAAATAAAAAAAAAATTATCTAAATATGCTGAGTTTAGCCAGGCTGGAAGATGTAAGGGTAGTAAAACAGTTTAGCAGAGCACAGATCTTGGGTTTTTTTGCCAAGTTGTGTTTGAAACAAGAATTCATGAGGCAAAGATACCCCCACAGTCCTCTCCATCATTCCACCTGGCCTGTGTCCCAGGCATGTTCAAGGAGGTTTTTAGGTGCTGTACCTGACCCAGGCATGCACAGGGGGCTACAAGAGCAGGCTGCCAGCTCCAGAGCATCTGAAACTTTCTAACACTATGAAAATCCTCAGCTGCTTGTCAGGACAGCTTTATGGAAAGTGAGATGAGGTTCTGGCCCCAGCATTTAACTACACTTGGCCATAACTCAATTTCTCACAAATAGCAATTTTGGCATGTTCTGGCTCTCTTGCACAACTGTGATACATGCAGTGGGAATAATAAATTATCACGCTATTACATGACAACAGAAACTTCAGCGTGTTTGGTTCCATGTGCAGGACTAAAAATGTGGGCTGTGATTTCATTGCACTTTCACTAGGTTGGAATCTCATATATTTACATTGTTTAGTAATGAACTACTGATCACGTGAGACTGAGAATTCATGGGAAAAGTGATTGCCCTTATAAAGAGGGCTTTGAATGAGGTTTTTCTTTTTTTTTTTTTTTTTTGTGATGGAAAGCCTGGATATCTGTAGTTAGAACCCCCCTCCTATGTTTCAGGCATATGGCACTGACAACGTGGGATTTAGAGGAATGTCCACAAATGCTACTCCTGCCTCAGATGTGACTGCACATCTCTGAGAAACACAGCAAATGTACAATCCAAACACCAATGTCTTTTTATAATTCATTAAAATCTACTGTTGGATTCCACCAGTGTTGTTAAGAAGTTAAAACCAGGAAAAACAAGGGGCATGCAATTTAAAACAACCTCTTACTTAGGGAGGGAAAAAAGAAGCTATTTTCATTCTAAGGATACAGTGGGTGGGAAAAGAGATTTCTGCTAGGGAAACAAGCAGTCACTTTCACTGAAAAGGAAATACTGAGTTGCTTTGTCCTAAGGTCTCAGTGGAGCAAAGCCTGATGGTTTAACCATGGCATATGGGTTGCAGCCCAAGAGAGCTAAAGAGAAAATTTGGAAGCTCGTGTCAAATTTTCTGCTCTCTATATAGCTTTGGCCTAGGCCTCAGCAGCAGTCTCCAGGGACAGAATGATGTACTGCAATATAACAAGCTGCCTGACATTTTGAAATGCCTTAACCTCCAGCTTTCCATCCACCTTTTAGCCCTTGCAGCAGCCTCCCTTCCCACCCGGAGCTGCACAATGTACAGTTCAAGGCTTCCCCATAAAGAAAAAAGTTGTCATGTCTTTGTCCTTGAGGGTTTTAATCAGCAATGACTCCTGGCTTCGTTAATAACATTTTCAGTAATATAACAGGAAAGGCCAGTTATTGTACAGAAGGGGGGTATGTGCATGTCTAATGTCCCTCACTCAGGCACAGGCCACGTCTCTGCAAAGCCTTGGGACTATTTTCGAGGTTTTTCCAAACCAGAATGCAGGATGGAGGGGCATGAAAAAGGGAAAGCAGCATTTTCCTGTAAATGCAGAAATTGCAGCCTCCTAATAAAACACAAAGCCTCCTGAATCCCTAACAATGGAAGCTTTAGAAGCACAAATGTGAATGTTGAGGCCAAACTGGTGCACACAAGCAAGAAGAAATTTATTTTATGCTTCCAACAACTTTCAGATTTATATCTGGCAGCTGCAGGCCAAACCCTTTAAAACACTGCAATAATTATGTATCCAAAGCAAAATCTTTCTCCCCCCCCTTGACATGGAAAATGTTGCAGAGCCAAAAGCATTATTAATTTAAGAAACTCTACATTCTGTTACAGGTATGGACTTCAATGGTCCAGCTCACAGGCTTCCTTTTTTCTAAAAAGTCAAAACATCAAGGGGTTGAACAGAGCTCCTCTCATACATTATCTCCCTAATGACTTTGACCTATTAATAAGTGGAATCTATCAAGTATAGTCTCTCCTACAGTATTTTGTCAATCGTTATACGCCTCAATGGGGCCACCATTAAAAATCTGCCAATTAATTCAGTATTTAGGACACTGTTACTATGAAATATGCTATGTATCATGCTATTTCTCATTATAAATATAGAAATGCTGTAAATTACAAGGTGAGATTAGTATTTTCTGCAATAAGAAGTGACGCCTTTTAATGATAATCATTATATATTTTGCCTTTTCTCTCCTTCAGCAGGGTTCTTTCATAGCTGAAGGGAACAACAGTCTGAATGGATACTGGAAAGATATTCCTTCAACATCCTACTTGTTATTTCCTGTCATTCTGTATAAATCTTTTTTGCAGCACGGTCTAAGTATGCACACTAATTAATTTTTATTCTTCCAAGAAAATGGAAATTCAGAAAACCAAAAGGTTTTTCCCAAACTTTAAACAAAATCTTATTAAAAATAATAATTTTTTTTTAAAATTAGGCATCTTACACTGCGTGCATCTTTTCATACTACTTCTGAATAAAATGCTTTTGCTGACCCAAAACAAAGCTCTTGCTCAAAAATGATTAATTGTGGCTTTCTGGTCAATCAAACACTAAATAAAATGAAGGATGAGAATCTAATGTGGGTGAAAGTCTCTAATGGCATTTATTAATTTATTTATTTAATTTTAATTTCTTTAAAAAACATTTTTTGAGTAAAAATTATATTTTATTTAATATTGCATAAAAAAACCATAAAAAGTATTAGCATCAAGTTAGCATGATTGCAATGAATAATGTGAAAAGTGCCTCTAATAGAGTTGTAGCTGTGGTTTCATTTATGCTAGATGAAAAATGACATTTATCAAATATTTGATCTGATGGACTATATATTTATGGAGAAACAAAAGAGAAGAGATTAACTGGCAAGAAAATCCATTTTGATTAGACTATTTAATGTTCTGTGTATGTGTTACAAATAGCTCTCCTCCCAGGAGGATTCCTTTGAACCAGATATCGTCAGTTATTATTTTTATTTAGCACTGAGACCATATGACCTGGGAACAGAACCTTTTAAAACACTTGACAAAAATCAAAGGTATAAGAACTTTTATCTATACTCTTTCCTCTATGAGGAAAATCTTATTGCTATATGGAATATGCTTGCTAAATTAAACTTCTATTGTCTTTCAATGTATTTTTTAATATTCTCATTTTAGGATCTCCGCTTGTACATTTCTCAATGATATTTCATTTGGAACTGCAATCATTTATCTAGTTGAAGCATCTGTGTGTTTAACATATGGACTGGAAACTTTCCACTACAATGACTGTGTTCTGCCAAAAAAAGCCAGCAAAAGAAAATGTTCTGATGTAAATATAAGCAGATATCCAAGTTCTTCACAGGTTTTGAATCTTTAACCATCTAAAAAAAAAAGAGTTCATTACAACTACAGTTTTGTTAAAAAAAAAAAAAAAAACAAAATAAGACAAAATAAAATAAAAGAAAACCAGTAAAAAAAAAAAGCCCTGTATATTGCAAATCCCCATTTTGGCAACCCAAAGAGGGAATATAAGCTTAAAGGCCTGAATTTAACAAACCTAATTATCAAGGCTTAATTAGTACCAAGGGTAAAGCTTCATGGAACACCTGCAGACTTAATTTATGTCCTGACAGAGAGGAACAAGTGTTAATGGGCTGTATTTATGTTAATACCTGAACCTTAGAGAGCCAGTGGGATAAAACAGACTATGCACTAGTTTTTTGTTTCAAGCTACAGAACAAACATAAAAGATTTTAATCTTAATATTAGTTTGCACATAAGTCCTTGGGGAAAGTATAGATCTATTTAAACTTTAAAATTGGAGATGCTAAACACTAAGGGGGGGAAAAAAAGTAAAAAAAAAAAAAACCCAAAAAAAACTAAGTTAATTTAAAAAGTGGTGTCAGTGCAGAAAATATCAAACCAAAAAGGGTCTGTGGCCACTTTCCAAGCATCCTGTGAGCAGATACTGTTTTTTTTTAAAAGCTCTTACACCACACCATTGATGCTTTCTACAACATGAACATAGATTTATTTCATGTTTTCGATGCATAATACAATTCTTTTCTGTAATCAGAGGGAAGGCAAAAAGGCTGCCCACCATACCTGCAGTGCTGAGGGTATTGCCCCTGCCTGCTGGTACCTGCTGGTACTCGGTGGACACGATCTGAGCTGGTTTTGGGCACATTTCAGAGCAGAGCCCTGTGAGGAATGGAGCCTCTGACAGTCTCCAGCCCTCTCAGAGCCCAGGCTATAAATGAGCCATATGGTGCCACCAGTCCCAGCTCTTCCCGAGTGCCAGGAGAGCACAGAACATTCCCTTTCCATGCTGTTCCCCTCTCTGTGTTCAGTAAACTACCTTGGAGCTGGGGGGTACGGGTAGGAATAAATAACCTGTGTTTTTCCCACTGAAGATGCAATTCTATTGTAGCAACACTGGTTCATCTTCACTTCTGGCACTGCAAGTATCCTGGCTGAGCTCAGGAAGATGATGCTCAGATGGCATTTTTCTGCCCTGCAGTGCTCCTTTCCATTCACACCACTTTGGAATGATCCCTCCTGAGAGCGTGGCCATTCCCCACGGGAACACAGCTTGGCTTCACGCCCCATGCCTGGGGACAGCGTGGCAGCAGGGCTTCCCAGCAGAAGGTCAGTGAAAACTTCCCTTTTTTCCTCTTATAACTAAAGGTTTGCCTCTGCCCAAAGGCCTAAAACAGTTTTCCCGTCTGTCATTTCCTGTAAGGCCCAAGTCTCTACAGCTGCCTAAGGGACAGGTAAGAGTATTTACAGGATGACCCACAGGAATTCAGGAATTTAAAGACCTACATCTTGCTTGAGCAGGAATGGGTAGATTGGTTAGTGTATCCTCCTCCCCATGTTCTTCAGTGTAATGGGAAGAGAATGCTTTAAGATTTTCTTATATTTTTTCCTTCCTATGTTATAATCCTCCTTAAAATATTGACACTATTTCCTGGCAGTGACCAGCCCCTGCCACCAGCCCATTTGACACATTTCAGGGGTGTACAAACTATCAGCACTTTCCATGGCTCAGCTGAAAATGTCACTGAGGGTGTTTGCACAGCTGTGGGAACAGGGACCATTGCAGGGCCATGCTTTAGTGCTCTCAGCTGGGAAGTGCAGCAGACCCAGTGAGGCTGGGAGGGATTTGTGTTATCTTCTAGGAGACCCCATCACCCTGCATCTATCAGAGGCTCCTTCTGTGCGAGGATAAGCTTCCAGAGGCTACACGAGGTGCAGCTTAGAGCAAATCCCACCCAAAACAGACTGGTCTGGCTCAGTGTTAACTGTGGAGGGGACTTCTGCTTGCTTTCAGTCCTTAGACTTGGAAAGCCTTCTAAGGACAAAGTGGAGGAAGGCTTTTCCATCTCACCTGCCGCTTTCCAGTGGCCCAAAGCATCACACCAAACCTCAAGAAGAGCAAAGTCAGCTTCCACCTGAGGACCGTCTCCTGTCCCAGAAGTGCCTGACAGCCCTTGCACTATCTTGGAGGAGCCATGGCCATTGGAGTGCTCTCCCAGCTTGGATTTCCAAGGACATGAGCTCCTTGTGCCCCCTGAGCCAACCACCTGGTGTCCTCAACACCCTAAACTCTTGGAGTGCTGCTGGAAACATCTGCCCCATTTCTGAGTTTGGAAACACTCACAAGTGGAAACATGACACAAGTACCTCACCAGCACCAGGAGTGAAACTCTGCTGTTGAGAGAGTCTTTGCTGTGTGAAAAGGAAGAACACCAAAATCTACTTCTCAGGGCAATAATTAGTTGTTTCCATGGAGGGGCGCAGTGAAAATAAAAATATTAATGGTAGCAGCAAAATGCTCTCTCTCTAAAGATTCAAGCTTGACAAAGGTTCATCTACCAGACCAATCCACAATGGAATTTTTGTCCAAAAGCTATGCATTAAAAATAATAATAGTATTTCTACAGCTTCCTTTTACTACTTTTATCAGTAGTACTACTTATATCTCTTTTAAGCCCATTTTTACCTCTGGCAAATTTATCAGACCTTCAAATGTGGTTTTCCAAACTGGACAATGCACAATAGCACCGACCTAATATTCATGGTCATTGTGGAAAGAATTCAAGCAAAGCATATTGATTTTTTTTTAGCGAGCAGCAATGACGCCAATGCAGAGCACACGTGAGTTCTCATGTATGTACGTGTGAGATATGTGAGATATGTGGGATATGTGTGCAGATGTGTTCTGGTAAATCACCTGGGGCTCAGCATTACGGGAAGAACACGGCTGAAGCCACGGCGTAGGACTGTGACAAGCAGCTCATGGGTGCTTTCATTTTGGTCACGTAGCCACGTTTCAGAACAATATGCTCTCTCTGTATTCTGTAAAACTAGCCCAAGATAGATGATAAACGGAAATAACCCATTAATCAGATTGTCAATGAACATTCTGAGAATTAAAATACAAATCCTGGACAAATTTAGTCATCAATTTCACAAAGCATCTTTGGCATGGGAAGTCGGAGATATTTTTGAGGTCTAAAAGGTTGATTTCTTGAGTTTCTTAAAAGCAGAAACAACACTTGTCATACACAGTTTCAATCAGGCTTCTTGTTCTGTTTTCTAATTTCATTTCATCCCACTTTAACATGGCATTCTCCACCTCCCTCAGATCTTCCCACAGAATCAGTCAGGCAGAAGAAGCACTTGAGTAGCTTGTGCAAGCATGACGGCTGAGCTGGTCACAGCGCTTGTCCTGGACACATTAACCAATTTTGCAGTAAAAAAATAAGGAAAATTTTCAGATTGTGGTGTTTAACATAAATCCAAACTATATTCTAGAAAGCTGTCCTCAAAACCATGTATCATCTACCACCAGGTTTGGTGAAGCCAAATAAGAATAGGAAAAATAAAACCAAAACAGCTCCTAAGATTTTATTTTCCACTTGGGAAATTTCACATCAGTGAAATGAATAGCTGTTTTGCTTCAGTAGGTGCATTTCTTTTGGGGTCATCTTTTGCTCAGCAAGAGTGGACAAGGATGAAATGGGATTTATGGGGCTTTTAATTTTTATTCTTTAATGTTTCTATTTTCTTGTTCAAATATATTTTTATTTAATGTTTTGAAATATGGCTTCCCAGTTCAACCTCATTTTAGTTTCACAAAGTAAATGCAATTTATGTGCTGCAATGAAAGAAAATACAAAAAGAAAGCGTGAAAGTAGTGAAGTTTTTCATATTTCAGACAAGAGCAAAATTTTTATCCAGCCTGAAATATTTTCCATGCTTGCTTAAAAATCCATAAAATGAGCAATTGCTCATCAACTTAAGAGTTATATATGCGAAATCTCCTGCACACAAGTCAGAGCCAATGCACGACTGAAGATTTCTAACCATTTGTTAAATTTCCCACTCTGCAAGTGTCAAAGGATTGAAGGGTAAAAATGAACGGGGGAAGACAAGGTTCCAAGTCACTAAACTGTAGAGATGTCACAATCTTTGCTGTAGGGAGATTGTGCAGTTGCACCGTAGTGAGGAGAAACTTCTGTTGCCTTTACACCAACACAGGATGTTCAACTTTTAACAGAAATAAAACAGCAAAGAAAAGTGCAGATAAAGAGAAGAATAAGCAGCTCTACAAACAGACCACAAACTTTTCTCCTGGTACTGTTGAGCTACATAAAACTGTGTATCAGCTGCTGATGTTACTATGTCAATTGTCTGTTGGCTTAGTATGCACTTTAACAAACACAGATGGAAGTTATTTTATGAATTAGAAACTTTAGCTACTGAGATGAACACACAGACAGTGTCTTCCTGTGCACACAGACTGAAACTCTGACTAAACACATTCTGTCAGCACACAATAGTAGCTGAGTCTTTTATGTCTTCAAATGAAAACTCTTATCAAACATCATAAACTCTACGGGGCAAATCAGGTCCTTGTTGTTTCATTTGTTTAACATTTGATAAAATCAGTGAAGTGATCAAACAGCAGGTTCCAGGAATCTTTTGGTTTGTTTGCACTTTTTGTCATTGGAGAGTTTGAACCTCCATTATTTAATCTCCCTGCAATTATATAAATTTCATTTCAATTCTGCTAGAATTTAATATAAAAGAGGCAAATACACTGTATTGCAGTGAGCCATGTCCTACAGGTACCATCCAGGAGTAATAGGCAAGGTCACAAAGTTAGTCTTACACTTCCAAAACACTACCCAGCTCTTAAATAACTCTCACATCCCCCCCTGCACCATTTGCTGTTCATAGGTGAGGAAGGCAAGGCACAGAAATGGACCAGAACTGCTGTGGAGGGATGCAGTGACCTGGAAAGATCGAAAGATTGGAAGTTCCTGATTTCTCCACCTGACCACTGCTTTTTTCTGCTGTGTTTGTCCTTGGTCCAATTGCTTATCATGAGGGACTCACTAACAAACTGCTCCTGTGCTCCTAAATTTTAGCAATTAAGTAAAAACTTGCCATTTTAGAATGGAGGTAAATTTCTACCAGAGATACAATTATAAATCTCTAGACTTCATAACGTCTTCACCCTTGTGACTTCCACATTTCCCCATGGAGAAGATGCAGAGGGGCTGAAACAGGGTAAGGGTTTTAGACTGAAGGTTTCAAACAGTAAAAAGTACCTTTCCTCTTCCCCTGGAGTCTGAAACACCTGGATTTTGGCTTGGATTTCTTTTTCTGAAATGCTGACTTAAATATTGGATTCACTCCATTTATGCCAAACCTTGTTCTCATTTTATTAGAAAATGAGAACTACTATTTTATAATGAGTAAACATTTAATATATATCTGTTACACCATTAAAATACTTTGCAAATAAATAAAATATTTTTTTTTTTCTTAGCACTTTCCCCATCTGTACTTGTTTATGGCATACAACAGAATTCTTTCACTGGTACTAACAAACTTCACTGACATGCAATTTATACTGCTGTAACAAACAAAAGAAGAAAATTTTAGTCTCTTTATTTACTAAATTTCCAAAAGTCATTTTTTGAATGTTAATATATAAATTCAGGGCAAATTGAAAATAATTTTGTAAATGATGAGTATTTTGTAAACAAAATAATTTTTTTTTAAAAAAAAGAGCAAGCTGAAAGAGCAAAAGATAACAAGAAGACTGAATGCCTTTTTAAATTTCTACTGTGTCCACATGTCAGTGCAGCTTTGCCAGCTTCCCACGGTAAGCAAGAAAAAGTCAAAAAGCAGGAGCAAACATCCCCTCCCAGCTCCAGGCTCCATCATGAACCTCCTGGCTTTTGTGAGTTCATGTCAATACCTCTGCAATAATTCTGATTTATATAAGCTAAGACCTTAAGGTTTAATAATATTTTCAAATGCAGGATTTTGACAATAATTATGTCACTAGAAATATCCCTTTATTTTCTAGATTTTTTTAAGCTCTTTTTGATTCTCAAAGTATACACATACTATCCTAAATTATGCCACCTTAATCTAGAAAAGTTTACTAGTTTACCCAAATATCCGTGTTTTTATATAGCAAAAAATAAGGGTCAGTAGTAAAAGAAGGGGACAAACTT